AATATGACATTTTTCCGAAACTTATCATATGTCAAATAATTTAATAGAAGAGAATGGTCAGTAATAATGTGTTTAATTTTTGTTTTTCTTTTCTTTTTTTCTCTAAACTACTGATAAAGCAAACTAAATATTATCAGTAGTAGTGATAGTAATATTTAGTTGTTAATAAATGCTTAAATAGTCCTATTATTGATATTGTTAAAGATTGAGTTTTGAATAGTCATTTGAACGAAAGCTGATGGCCATCCAGTCTCAGTAACTCAGTAGATAACGCGTTGAAAGTACTAAGTTCCAGTTTCAATATGATGAACATCAACACTGAAATATTCCATGATTATTTAGCTGATGAGTGTCAAATAGGATAACTCCGCCTGTAGCTCTTCTAGAGTTACTGCCGGTCCCAAGCATGGGTAAAAAAATGAGGATTGGGCATGAGATTAGCGACCTCATCCCGTAGAAAAGCTAACTCGCTAAAAAAGAAACCTAACCAGAAAATGCCATATGAATTCTACCATTATCCAGGATTCATTTCTGCTTAAATATATGATTATTGTTATTTCATACAGAACAAATGGGAAATAATTTAAAGAAAGGTCGTGAATCTTAATCTCATGTTAGCTGAAACTTATCAGCAATTGGTGTTTTTGTAATGATATAGTGTTGACTAAGTATTTGGTTGTACATCACCCTGTGTTGTAATGAGAGATAGACTTACTTACTTGCGTTGATGACCCTAATGGGAGTACAGGTCGCTGATCAGCATTCTCCAACACATTCACTATATCATCGGTCTTTCTTTCTGGTTATATACAATTCTTGTTCAATATTCCCATGTGTGTATCCATTTCTCAGCGTGATGTGTTTTTTGGTATTTCTCTTCTATTTAGACCTTGAGAGTTCCAATTTAATACTTTCTTTTCGACACAGTTTTGTGCTTTCCTCAATGTGTGTCCTATCCACTGACAGTAATTCTCTCTCACATTTGTCAATCGATGGAGTGATAAGATAGTTTCCTTCTCTTTGCTCAAGACCATTAATCTCAGTTCAGACTCATGCACTTCTAAACCTTAGGATTATACCAGTTAACCTATTGTGTCAAGGCCTTAACCTAGATCGTGACAGGTTCTCTCTTGTATATTATTCGGTAAACAGATCCAAAACATAACATTAAAGGATCTGTGATCACATGAGAGATCAATCTTGAGACCCTCAAGTTTCACAATGATCGTTCAATATTCAAACCATTAAGATAACATCCGATGATTTATATTTCTAGATTCAATCCATTCATAATTTTATACCGTTGATGAATCCTATATTACAACAAAATACTTGTTTACTCTCTCCTAGTTTTCACTAATTATCTAACTAAGATCAATAGCTATTATAAACTATAAAAGTCAATAATTTTTACAAACATACAAAACTTATCACTCCAATATTAATCTAACTGTATCTCCACCAGGGGCTACTGCCAGTCCCAAGACAAAATAAAAGAGTAAGGTTGGACATGAGGTTAACGACCTCATCCTGTAGAATACTAACTCGCTAGAAGAAAAAAAACATTAACCAGCATAATTTACTAAGCGTGAAATTATTTATTATCTATTCTTCTTCAATAGAATTCTACATTATTAGTTTAACTTTCTTTTCTGCTGTTTTATTTTACCATTATGATATTCGTATTTTCCATAGTAACTAAATTGTTCCCTAGTGATAACATTATATCTATTATGAATAATTAATATAGTTTAATGAAAATTCAACTAATCATTAAATGTAATAATGATAGACGCCACGAAAAAATATAGAAAAATAAAATGAGAAAGAAAAAAAGAAAAGAAAAAAGAAAGAAAAAAGAGGGAAAAAGAAAGAAAAAAGAGAGAAAAAAGAAAAAAACGTGAAGGGATTTAATTAATTAAAAAATAATTAAGAAAATAATTATCAGGTTAGAAAAAGTTTTTAAAAAAATTTTTTGATAGCTGATGGCTATTTTCATTTATCTTTTTTTGGTTTTTCCTTTTTTCTTTTTATCTTTTTTATTCTTATTCAAACGTTCCAAAATTAAAAAGATCAATTATCAAGATCAGTTGATACTAAATATACAATATTGGATGTTGAGATGGATAGTGGCTAGCAGTGGAATACAGGACATGCGTTTCGTCCTATTTGGGACTCATCAGCTCGATGTACCTGCATCTCAGAGTTGATGTTCACTCTGGGACTCGAACCCAGTATGGAGGCAATACGCACAGCATGCACATATGCCAATAATAGACTGATCAGTTGCAGTCCTAACACATCGATGAGAAGATTCAAACAAACTATACTAAATGAATTTAAATAACAAATCTTATTTTTAGTTATCATAAGGGGTTTTGTAGAGATTTAGTATTTTTCATAGTCGAAAGCGTGAGTCAATTGAAGCTAGACCAAGATGGGAAACCTGGAAACGCTGGATGGCCGTTTCGTCCTATTATGGGACTTCTTAGTGTCAGTGCGCTTCTACGATCCCACACTCGTGAGATTCGAACCCAGGACCTACCAGTCTCAAGCCGAAGCCCTTAACCGATAGACCACTGTGCTAGCATCTAACGGTGTTAATGTCTAACTTCAACTTCGGCTTGAGACTGGTAGGTCCTGGGTTCGAATCTCACGAGTGTGGAATCGTAGATGCGCAATGACATTAAGAAGTCCCATAATAGGACGAAACGGCCATCAAATGTTTTCAGGTTTCCCATCTTGGTCTAGCTTCAATTGACTCACGCTTTCAACTATGAAAAATCTTACTTTGACACTTTTAGAAGAGAACAAGATAAACTATATGCATATATCAACAAAACAAATCACTAATTCATATGGAAACATTGAAGCAAAAAATAAAAGAGAAACAAAAAAAAGAAAAGTTACAATCTAAATGAAACATTCAAATTTTAATTCGTTTCAAAAATTTAAAAAAAAACTTTTTTTTTCTGTATGACTACTAATATATACTACTTATCAAATCCAAAAAATTTTAAAAATTTAAAAATTTAAAAAAATAAAAATAAGTAATTCATTGAGAAAATAATAATCAAATAACTTGGATAGTAACAAAAAAAGAAAAGTGAAAAAATGAAAAATTATGAAAATTAATCCATTAATTGTGAAAATCAACTCCTTTTTTTCTTTTCTATTTTTTCTTTTTTTTTTAATTTCACAAATAGTTTAAGTCATTTGTTATATTTGTTACTTAAAACTATTTATCAACTAGTTGATGATATGGATATATAACTTGGGAATGACTATAAATCATTTACAATAATAATGGTTATATTAATGTGTTTATGTAAAGTAGAGAATCATTGAACACCTGAAAGAACTTGATGAAAGTTTCGTCACAATTGATTGATCACTGGGTGGAGATCCATATCATGCGTGCCTAGTCCTACTTAGTGCTGAACGAATGCTATAGATCAAGTTGCAATGTGGCCACTGGTATAGGTGGCTCAACACTGCACGCACTATGTTGAGATAAGATGTTGGTTGGAGGTAATCAATTGTGATTACATCTTAGTCCTACAGGAGGTCGGTCACGGACTAGATAGCTCAGTGTTAACGTCTGTAACTGTGAAGTTGGGTGACATGGGATCAAATTCGTCAGGGAGCATCATTTCCCTCAAGATTACAGGTACACCTTGCTGAAAGTTTCGTCTCACAATAGGAATCCTTAGTAGTGCATATCCATCATGTCACAAGAAAGGGATTACAACTCAAAACACTCAGTATTGTGTTCACCACTGAATCAGCATTTAACGATGTTAATGTCTAACTTTGAACGATTCACGATTATACGCAACCCGTTATTCACTGTCTGAGATGGTTAACTGCTTCACACTCGACACAGATTGGACTCCGCTGATCACGACTTCTCACTAGAACTTAAAGAAATCCATCTTGATATCCATCTTAATATGTAAAACAATATTTGCTGTATCGTTATAAATATTCGATCATATTATCATTATCAGTTGGAACTCAAGATAATTCATCAGTGATACCAACGATCTAGTTTGAATATTCCTTACTGCAAGATTAACTCAATATAACAAATTTGGCATAACTTATTAAATATAGATGGATAGTGTATGACAGAGAAACTGATAACACATGACTTTACTTATTCTTGACTGTTCCACAGAATACAATTACATCCCAGTGTGGATGTTCATATTGTGACTTCAACTCCATACCATACTAATCAAACCTTTAGAGCTGATAAGTTCAGTTAGTTACAGACATGTACAACCGGTATAATATTCATACGATTGTTAGTACCGAGTCCAAGACCAAATGAAGATATTAACACTAAAATTCGTGTATATTCACAATAAATTAGAATCACATTCTATCACTTGTTCTAGATAGGTAATTATCTATACTTAACCGAAACAGAAAAAAAACATCAATTTTGTTATAAAATGTGTATACTGACTTATTCTATATTGTATTTCTGAATTTTTTCCTATATCTTTATCCATTGCATTAAATTTGTTATCACTTGACCAGTATTAAACACTTTTGAAATACTGGACGGCCGTTTCGTCTTAGTATGGTATTCTTCAGCGGTACGCATTCACGGTATTCGAACCCAGAACCCTCAGTCTCATGTGTCGGATAGATACAGGTATCTACCTCAGACAATGGATGAATAGTTGAGCAGCAATTCCCAGATCAATGGAAGTTAAACACTTACACCGTTGGATACCGACTAAGTAGTCTAAAGGTTAAACATTTGCATGTAAAACTAAAAGTCCTAGGTGCAAATCCAGCGTGCGGTATCCTGGATGCACGCTTCTGACAAGTTCAACACTAAGGCAAAATGACAGTCTAGTGCTTCCAGGTTTTCAATAGTAATCTAAAATCAATCGATTTATAATCCCAATCAAAAGAAAACTTGACAATCACACCAACCTCATACTTATGAAATAAGCAAAATAAAAAACAAAACGTACACTTACCAATTTTGTTATAGAATGTGTATACTGACTTATTCTATATTGTATTTCTGAATTCTTTCCTATATCTTTATCAATTGCATGAAATTTTGTTATTACTTGACCAACTTTTACATTTTCAGGTACTTCTATGTACAATGTTTCATTATTATTATAAGTAGTATAAGTAGTACTATAAGTAGTATTCATTATTGTTTGTATTAAATTAAATTCTGGTTTACAATCATTTACATCTTGTATATAAATAATTAATGATAATGTAGTTGTATGCTGTTTCTTATTCATATCATATTGATAATAATAATCTATAGCTAATAAATATAATTCATATTTATCAATCCATTCACGATCTAATTTATGATCTAACTGAATTTCTAATAATTGATAATTATTGATTTTATTATATATTAAACTAAAATAATTAATTAAATCAATATATTGATTATTAGTAATATTATAAGTAGTAGTATTATTAGTAGTATAATTCATCATTAAAGTATTATTGATTTTTGGTTTATTAATCCATTCTAATTGATAATCAATATTTGAATGTAAACATAAATCATTATCTATAGCAATTGGTAATTGATATTTTTTACCAATTGGATCATTTTCTATAAAATTAATAATATAATTTTGATGATTCCATTGAAATTTCGGTTCATTATCATTAATATCCATTAATTGAATTAGAATGGTTATTATATTTAAATCTATATTTAATAAATTCATAGCTAGTGTTATAGTAAATTGACAATATGGTAAATATAATTGATTATTATTGATTGATCGGTTATTGATTGATTGATTATTGATTATTGAACAAATATTTTTAAAACATATACATGGATTCATGATATGTTTCATTGTATTATTATTATTATTACTATTATGGTAATGACATAATTGATCTCGATCTAATTTTTTAATTTGTATTAATTCTTGTTTAAATAAATTATAATAATTAATATGAAAATAATTTGAACTCCATTGATTCGATGGAAATAAATATAAACGTGCTAAATCATAATTACTCTGATTATTGATTATTGGATATTGATTAGCAATTAAATCAATACTTAATAATTGTTTACTTTGATTATTATAATTATTCCATAATGATAATTTATTCGGTAAATAATTTAATATATAATTTAATAAATAATTATTTAATTGTAAATCATCAATTAAATTACCAATTAATTTTGGTAAATTAAATTTTTCTTCTATAAGAGTATATGTAATTTGTTTATTAAATGATTTTAATGATTCCCCCCTATGATTATAATTATTGATTTTATTTAATATTGATTGATATGACCAATCAGTTGAATGGTTGATTGATAATGATTCTGATTTCTTATATTTAGATGTCATTAGAACATTTGACGTTGAGGATAACAATAATGATGAAGATGACAATAATAATAAGTTAGATGAAATAGGAGGAAGAAATGTTAATGAATAAATTGTTGATGAATTGAATGTAACTAACTTGATAATGAATAATGAAAACATAATCAATTGAATACTATTACATAATATCATCTATCTCCCTTTTTTTATAAATCGATTTAGGTATATACAATTATAAAATGGTATTCTGTTGTCATAACTTATCATATTATCTTTTATGTTTTTCTTTTTTCTTTTCTTTTTTCTTGTACTTCTCAGTTTTTACGTTTTGTTTTTTGTTTTTTGTTTTTGGCAAAGTGTAACCTTCAATTTTGTCTTCAATGATAATCAGTAGTATTGGAAATTGATTGTACTATAGAATAGAAAAATACAATTTTCATTGATAAGAAAGGATATACAGAATTATATTAAAAATAATAAAAAATTATTTATAGATATTATCAGTATGAGATTGTGGAGATTGTTAAATTTTGTTTTAATTGAGATCATGAATCGAATGTTGTTAGATCACTATTTGAAAACCTGAAAGCATTGGATGGCCGTTTCGTCATATTGTGGAACTCCTCAACAGTGCGTATCCATGATCTTGTTAGCAGGATTTGAACACAGGACTGTCAGTTATGCGCGAGAACGCTCAACCTCTAAACCACTGGGCCGTTACTTAATTTTGTTATTGTTTAACTTCAACTAATCCACGAAATTTTATGAACATTTGCCATAAGGTAGATACCTGTCTGTACCTGACATGAATTAGCTCCATATATTATTGCAATAAATTCCCTCAGTATTACTTGTTTGAATCTTCCCATTAATGTTTAGGACTGCAACTGGTCAGTCTATTATTGGCATATGTCCATACTGTGCGTATTGCCTCGATATAGCCTTATTTCACATGCATTGTAGGTGAGTGAATAACGCGATGGCGTTTGAAGCGAAAGGTACTGGGTTCGAGTCCCAGAGTGAACACCAACTCTGAGATGCAGGCACATTCAGCCGACGAGTCCCAAGTAGGACGAAACGTGCGTCCTGCATTTCACTGCTAGCCACTATTCATCTTTGCTTACAATATTATTACAATAGTTATACTACTCTTTAGCATATACATTCATTCTGACGACACACACTATTTACAGGTATCAATACCAAGATTGGACTTGATCGTTTCAAATAAGTTAAGCAATAGGTATGGATTTAATAATAAATATAATGTCTGTTATATCGTTTCATTACTTAATGTAAGCCACTTCTTCAGTTTAAATAAATAACTGACTATTTGTTTACTGTGAAGAAGTGACTTACATGAAGTCACAAAACATCAGAAATACAAATTTACTACTCATTGAGATATAACAATAATACAGTTGTTATTAGGAGTTTAAACTTATTGACAGATTTGATGTGTTTGGGGTTTGATTACATTCCTTCCTAAAACTATGAACATAACGATAAGCTTATCATGCTTGTGAATCAGGGCTATATCGAGGCAATACGCACAGTATGCACATATTCCAATTAGAGACTGATCGATGGGAAGTTTCAAATAAACAATACTGAGTGAATATGAATATAACGGTCTTCTAAAGGATAGAATAGCGAGGATAACTAGTAGGATATTCAACACAGCTAATCTTGCATCGACATTTTCTAGTGCATCAGTAAAGTTTATTCAAAGTTATCTGAGTTTGTCTCTATGATGTGCATCTATAGATTCAGTTGCTGCTGTGGAGATTGTTATATTAGGTGTACTGCCAGATAACTTAACAAAGGGTCAATGAGCATTTCCCGTCTTCGCTTAGAAACGGACAGACACAGTTCTATCTTGGCATACCTGGTTGGCAGTGATCATATGATATATAAAACTAAATCATTTGGAGTGTTCGACTGTATACCTTTGATATTTATCAGGGAAGTTCGATCCTGTCTCCTGCATACAGCAGAAGTTATAAAGAACCGAATCTATAACCCTGGCTAATGTGTTTAGAAGGAATTCGTGACACATTTATATCTTCCTTGACTGAACATCACATATATATTCAATGTACCAACCAACTCAGATTGAAATCACATGTTGATTTCATGAGAGTTCATGATATAAACCAGTTTCCTAATTCGATATATGAAGAGTGAAACTCAAACCTACTACCTACCAGTTAAGAGTAAAGTATTTGAAGAACTAAGCAACTGATTCATTGTAAGAATGAATATATTTTCTGAGTATATAAAGTTATATAGAATGATTTAACTTAGAAATTAGATAAATTAATAAACTCTGTATTGTATGTCAATCTTCAATCATGTCTCACTATCAAAAGTACAGCCTTTAAAACCAAAATCCAAAATATCTTGAACCGATAAAATCAAAAGTCACTTTGCATAATAGTAGTGCATAGAACATCTATTTAAGCAAAGTCGAATACTGGCTAGTAGTGGAATCCAAAACATGTGTTTCATCCTATTTGGGACGCATCACATGGATGTACCTGCATCCAACAGTTGATTTTTACTCCGATACTCAAACTCTATAATGTTCGCTTCAACTGTGATAGTGCTTACAGGTACATACAAACAATAAGTCCCAGACAGAATGAAATGCATATCGTCGATTCCACTACTAGTCACAATCTATCTCTGCTTATAATGCTTGTGGCAATATCGAGGCAATCTGAATAGGATGCACACATGTCAATGAGAAACTGATCAACTGAAACCCTAAATATCAATGAAAAGATTTAAACAACTAGTACAAAAATGATTTAGAGGTCTTGTAGTTTGTTTTGTAACAATACAAATTCAATCAGTATTGTTTGCTTGAATCTTCCCATCGATTTGCTAGGACTGCAACTGGTCAGTATCTAATTGGCATATGTGCACACTGTGCGTATTGCCTCAATATAGCCTTAATTCACAAGCATGGTAAGCAGAGATGAATAGTGGCTAGCAGTGGAATTCGGGACGCGCATTTCGTCCTATTTGGGACTGGTCAGCTGGATGTACCTGCATCTCAGAGTTGATGTTCACTCTGGGACTCGAACTCAGTGGCCGAGTGGATAACGCGATGGCGTTTGAAGCGAGGGTACTGGGTTCGAGTCCCAGAGTGAACATCAACTCTGAGATGCAGGTACATCCAGCTGACTAGTCCCAAATAGGACGAAACGCGCGTCCTGAATTCCACTGCTAGCAACTATCCATCTCTGCTTACAATACAAATTCAATTTATCATGGTCAGTAACCATTCAAATTATCTTCTGTTATACTTGTACAGATAAATTAAATCTAAATTATAGATTACACAAATAAATTGCATTTTACTCATCAATTTCCTTCAGTATTCTCTTCGCCTCAATGAACAATTGTCTCGTCTAAGCAAATATATATGAACCATATTTAGTAAGTAGATAGTCCTATCCATAGTATTCATAATTATACTGGTAATAGTCAATATAAATAAACATCTTCTTTAAAGCTACACAACTGGAATCAACTTTATTGTAAAACTTTTTAGTGAGACTATAGTTTATGGACGAGTCAATAAGAAACGTTTGATGGATTTCAAATTCTCGGTGTCAATTTCAGTGCCTGATGTTCACGTACGATCGGTTCACAAAGAATTTTAGAGAAAACATGATAATTGAGTGGCTACAACAAATGAGACTGCTAAGAAGTTCCTATATTTGTGATTGGAGTAATCAAATGACTTTTGGACTTCGTGTAGCCTACCGTGATGATGCTATTTTTTTTAATGTAATATGTGTTGGAGGAAAAAGCCTGATAGAATACGATTTTTGTTCGCTCGATTGAGATTGAAACTGAGGCAAATTATAACAATCGGTGCGAGCTGAATAATAAAAGAACCAGTAACACTGGCTACAGCATAGTACTACAATATATACGGATGACTGGAGAGCGTAACAAGGCCTATATAGACTTGGTTATATGCATCGTGTCTTTGTCCTCAATCGTCATTTTGTGTGCGCAACAATTGGAGTACACACAAACTATGTTGAAGCTATCAGGACTCAGTAACTGAGTGCATAATACGATGCCGTTTGAAGTGAATGGTAATGGGTTTAAGTTACAGAGTAAACATTATCTCTGAGATGCAGGTACATCCAGCTGACCAGTCCCAAATAGGACGAAACGCGCGTCAAACTGGATTCCACTGCTAGCCACTATCCATCTTTGCTTACTCTCTACTAATTGTTTTCTGATTGGTTAATATTTCAAAAGGTCACTTGTGATTCGTTCAAAGGTCAACCATAAATTATAGTCCCGCCAATTTTTTTTATATTATCGATAACGTAACATAAGAAGGCATGTAGAAATACAGTTCAATGTTCAATGTATTACAATCAATTTCAATAATGAAATATTTTGAAGAAAAAATCAATATCAGTTATGTATACATAAATCTAGTTTAAGACAAGATTTAATGTTTGTTTTACGACTATAGAGATTCCCAGTATTAATATGTAACTAATCAATTAAATTATGTATTATGTACTTCCCAAAGAATTCGGCTTTCATCATGAGGCGTCATAATTATACCTTCAACTCTCAGGGCAGATTTTAAATGGTTTGGATAATATTTTCTGGTTAGTGTTTTTTTAAGAGAGTTAGCTTTCTACAGGATAAGGTCGCTAACCACATGCACAACCATCCTCTTTTATCCGGGCTTGGGAATGGCAGTAGCCTGCAGAGGGGCTACATATGGAGTTTTTAGAAAAATATACAAATATATTACTGATTATTTGTTTCAAGTATAATGTTTTAATGAAGTTTCATTTTCAATAGACTATACTTTCTTAAACTCATAGTAAGAACTTATAATATTAGATCATGCATCTAGACTGATCGATATTAGACCACCATTGAAAAACTGGCAGCAATGGTCGGTCGTTTCGTACTAGTGTAGGACTCCTCAGCAGTGCGCATCTACCGTCCCACAAACTCTGGATTTAAACCCAAGACCTTCAGTCTTCATGATTTCAATGAAATTCAACAATTTTCACAGAACCTAACTGAAAATAGTCAATATTAACTTGTTATATTCAGTATTGAATGTAACTCATGTATCTTTTCTTCTAAAATGAATTCAGTAGAGAAATGATTTTCTTTCTTAATTAGTAACACATCAATGGCTATACACTTATATACATACTACTATTGATAAGATTTGGATTATTCGATCGTTAATATTCAGAACCAAATTTCTATTTAGATGACATTTTCAAACCTTCAACAGTAGTAATATTGAAACCATGCTCATTGAGTAAGTTAGTGGTTAGTTGGACTTGACAGCCCAGTGGATAATTGATTGGGTGTTTAAAACAATGAGTATTGATTTCGGGTCAC